ATTCTGATTATGTTTCTTTAAAAACTGCTATGGAATGAAATAATTTTATTTTAACTGTTTAATTTTAAAGATGTTGATGGTATTGGTACTGATGAGCTCACTTAACTAATGCTTTTTAGTACTCTAGAGGTTACCGTACAAAAACGTACTCCACAGTTCAATCCATTAGTTTGCTGAAAATGGGGTGGCTCAAGGTATGTCCACTCTTTACTTTCCAGCCTGTTTTGATGTCAGCAGCTTCACTACAAAAAGATTGCAACCATTTTCATCAGTGCTACTGGCTATAGCTACAAAAATGAGTTATGAACATTGTCTTACTACGAATTCCTGGCGATTGATTGAATCAATTAAGTTGGGTTCAATTAAGTTTATGTTATATGAAGTCAAAATCACTCATATATAAAGCTGAAAAATCATACAATGAAACACAGGGTCGTGCTGGGAATACAGAAACTTACCCTATGTTATTTATAAGTCTGTACAGGCTGGGATTGGAAGCTGCTGTTATTTCATTTGAATGTTTGTTTCCGTGAATAGGATCAATATAGATACAGGTAGATTCCTTGTTATCTAAAATCTTTGAACACATTTATTTTATGTCGTCAAAACGAAGTCCTGAGGCATGTGTACAATATTCAATTTATCTAAAGAATATAATACAAATTTTAGAGATGACCATGTTATTAAAAAAAAAAAATGTACAGTATGAATAGTATCTTCGACTTACCAGCAATGCCCACTGACGTCCAGTGATATTCATTGGAATAAGAATTTTTCAATTCCATGGAACTTCTCGCCCATCCACAATCTACGTGTACTTGCCCCATGATTCACCAACTGACAAAGGCTACTGTTAGCAGCAAAGATTTTTTGGTGGAGTTTTGTTAGTTTCCACAGTGTAGCATCAACGATCTACAAAGAGAAACACAACGAATATAACAATTGAAGATACACAAAATTAGTATTTCAAATAGTTACTGGAAAACAGTGCTGCTTACCGTATCAGTTAACCACCATCCACAAAACTAGGGATCTCCTTTAATTTTCTGTGTTCCTTTTGCAGGCAAAGTGCTAGGAGGAAGAGTGGCTAGCAAGTCAGAAACGGTTACTTTGAATGGCCCTACTTTCAGTACTGAATTGCGTATACCAGTGTTGACTTGCAAGGTCTTAACTCTCGTCACTGCGTCACACAACTGTATTTCTGACTCTCCTAGCTGAGAAGGCCTGTTTATACACCACAACAGTAGATCAAAAGAATAGTCTGAAAGGTTGATTACTCGTTCTTACTTAATTGATAAAATATTCGAAGAGTTATGATCACTGTTCCGTATTACTAAATTCGATAGAATTATACCTTGGTGAGATACGAGCAGAACTCTCGTGAATTGTGCCAAGTAGCTCATCATTATCCGCATCATTACACAGTTCCAGTTCATTTTCGTCATTAAGAGACGTATCACATATTGAGTCAACTTGCAAATAAAACATTGGCACAAACAAGATAAACATTTTACACGTTAACATAAACAGTTCTTTTAATCTTTTTGAGGAAACAACGAATTATACCTACCTCTTCTAATTCCACAGCATTGTCTTTGGAATTGCCGTCATCCTTTGTCAAGTCTACAACCACACCCCTGTCCTTCCTTCTCTTGCCGTGTCGTGTTGGGAAGTGTCTTATGTTTCACCTTGTGGTAGTCTACCTCTGTAACTTTGAGCTTCTTTTTTGCAGGACTATGTCGAAGAGGAAGGCCATTTTCAATAGAGGAACCTCTAGAGAGATCCTTTGGCAGAGATTCCACAGTCGTGATATTATTATCAAGGATAGCTGAATCATCGACCACGAATGTTGCTGATCTCAATTCATCGATTTTTTTTCCTGAAGGCGCTTTCTGAGCTTTTGAGTTATTAAAGGTTGCTCGTTGTCGTCGATTTTTGGCCAGGAAGAAGTGCCACTGGATTTAGCAGGTGCATCATCTTCATTGGAAGATAACGCGGGAACTGTTGTTTCTGCACCGCATACTTGACCGTAATCGTCATTTCCCTCGTCCGTTGAACTCGGCTCCAAGGTTGGTTCTTCGTCTGGATCGGCTTGATCAAAATGCCCGGTGTCCAGAGTTATGAAGACGCTATTTTTGTAGGAATTTGGTAAGTTGTTAAAACTCCACTCGTCAAAGAAGCTGAAAACAGCTAAAATGTGTTTACAAGGGAAATGCGTTTTACGCCAGCTTTCACATTTGCAGCTTGGCTACGACAGCTTGACAGCAAACAGCTTCGTACTTTTCGAACTGCTTTTGACGAGAAATTCACCCTTTTCTAAACTGACACGTTTCAGGTCATGTTAAGGTAATGTTGGTAGGAATCAGGGATAAACGACTCCACAATCATCACCACTATTCCAAAAGCTGATTTGTCGAGTGATCCAGGCAAATAGCTGTATTTGAACAATTTATCCCGCGCTTCAATTCCATTGTTGATATTCACGATGTTGACGGCCTGT